CCGGCCTGTCCCGCGCGACTTCCGCCCTGCGTCCGCGGCCCACTGCGCATGCCCGAGTGGAGTCGGCCGGCGTCTCACTCTGTCGCCGAGCGTGGGTGGCAAGGGCGAGCTCTCGGCCACCGCACTCTCCTCCTGCTGGCCTCCGGCGATCCTTCCGCCTCGGGAAGCTGGAGCCACAGGCGCGCGCCACCACGCCCGGCTAAGTTTTTGATTTATGGTAGAGACGAGGTCTCGCCCAGTTGCCCAGGCTGGTCTCGAACCCCGGGGCTCAGGCAGTCCTCTTGTCTCCGCCTTCCAGAGTGCTGGGATGACAGGCGTGAGCCACCGCGGCTGGCCAGTTTTGTTTCTTAGTTGAGTGGGAATCGCTGCGAAGTTTTATTTGATCGCTGCGAAGCAAGGGGGTCTTTAAAAAAAAACCCCACAGGCCGGGCGCGGTGGCCCAAGCCTGTCATCCCAGCACTTTGGGAGGCCGAGGTGAGAGGATTGCCAGAGGTCACGGTTCGAGACCAGCCTGGGCAACTTGGCGAGAACTTGTCTCTACAATAAATAAATAAAAATTAGCCGCGCGTGGTAGCACGTGCCTGTAGTTCCAGCTACTGGGAAGGCTGAGGCGGAAGGATCGCCGGAGCCCAGCAGGTCGAGGCTGCAGTGGCTGTGAGCATGCCACTGCCCTCCAAACTGGGAGACAGACTGAGACTCCAACTCAAAAAAAAACAAAACATAAAAAGCCCCACAGACTTTTATTTGCCCACCAATGTATAACTGTAAAGCACTTTCATAGACACCATATTATCTGATCTTCACAAAAACCTATTGAAGTAGCATTTGACTACATTTTGACAAGTAGGAGTCCCAAAGCTCAAAATTTGATCATTTAAATTTTGCCAGCCGGGCTGGGTGGCTCAGCCTGTCATGCCGCGCCTTGGGGAGGCTGAGGTGAGTGGATTGCCTGGGCCCGCGGGTTCGAGACCCGCCTGGGCAGCGAGACCTCATCTCTACAATAAATCAAAAAATCAGCCGGGCGTGGTGGCGCATGCCTGTAATGCCGGCTACTCGGAAGGCTGAGGCGGAAGGATGGCCGGAGCCCAGCGGGTCGAGGCTGCGGTGGCCGGGAGCGGCCACTGCACTCCAGTCTGGGCGACAGAGTGAGTCTCCAACTCAAAAAAAAAAAAAAAAAAATTTTGCCA